AAAAAAAAAGATATATAGGGTTTATCAATCTACATTTCCAAAGCTTAAACCTACAGAACCTAGAGCTCTACCTAGAAACAGCAGCAGGGCCTGCACCGAGCCAGGCAATGGTGCTGTGAGAGCCACATACTGCTCCTAGCAGGAATGTCCTGAGGGAAGGGACGTCCTGAGGGCTGCGCTGTCCCAGCGCCACATGTGTCACAGCAGGCACACAGTTAGATCCCTCTCTGTGGGCACGTGAGCTAAGTCACTCTAGCACTGCCCCAGTAGCCGAGGATCAGGCTACAATGCATTAAAGGGACATGTACACATCAGAAAGGAGTGGCAGGGGCTGGTGCGATGGCTCAGTGGTCTAAAGCACCTACTTAGAACAAGCTTAGCAAAGCACAGGGACTGCAGTTCAATCCCCCAGCACCACATGCCAGCCGGCCCGCCCCCTGGTGGGCTGAGCTGGCCACACACATACACACACAAATAGAAAAACAAAGAAAGGAGTGGCAGTACCAGGCAATGACATCGCCACCTATCAGCAGGTCAGTATTCAGGTTTAATGGTAGTGCTGGCAACTTGGGAAAAAGTGGGGTTAGGGGTGCAGTCTGGGCTCTCGAGATCTAAAAAGCTCACCATCTCTGTCCTACAGTGCACGAGAGGCACCTAGGGGTGCGAACTCCTGACGAGCACACAAACTGCAGTGACACCAGAGGCATGAGGCTGCTGCACGCACGCTCTTTACAGTGAACTTCTTAAAGGTGTTACGCCACAGCAATAAAAAGTATGTACAGCAAATACATAAACCAGTGAGAAGTTACTGTCATCAAGGCCGCTCTTCCTAGCAGCTGCAGTGAAGGTCTGTTTACACCAGCTTCACTGTAAACATGTAGTGTCCGATGCGATGATGGCATGACTGCACCAACGTCACCAAGAGTCAGGAACTTTCCAGCTCATCGTAATCTTTGGGCCATCTACTAGAATGTCATCTTGTGGTACACAACTGATTTCCAAGAGTACAAAGAACACTACTGTTCACATTTTGGTTAACACAACTAGTTACTTCTCCAAAGATGAGACTCTTTTGTGGGGTGGGTATTGAGACAAGTGTCTTACTCTGTAGTTCAGGCTGGCCCTCAACTTCTGGCAATCCTGCCTCAGCCTCCCAAATGCTGAGATTATAGCCATGCACTACTATGCCCAGCTTGAGACTCTTATAAGCTCCAAAAACTATCTCTAAATGAGCCTGATCTGCTGGTATAAGGCCAGGTCCCCACCCTGATTGCCACCCTGTTCTGGCCCCACCTGGCTGCCACAGAAAACCCACAGAACACCACTGTCACCTGCAGGACAATGCAGCCCTGGATGAAGTCATCAAAGGCAATCTGTCCTCGTCCTTGTCTGTCAAACTTGCGGATGAGGATGTCGTGGAACTGGTCAGAGAGCCGGTAGCCTTGGAGAAGAAAGATCAGAGTCAAGAGAGCCTGGAGGTGCTTGGCTGCCGCAGTTCTCCCTCCCAAGACTCCACAACCTAACAGCAAACGACAGCTGGGTGGAAGTAAAAGTGCGAATTTGTTCAAATGTACTCTGAGAACCAAGAGTGTCCTACATTAGTCTGAAATAAATTTACATTTTCAGTACTACAATGTGACCTACTTGGAGACAAGTACCATTCCTTGTAAAGACAAGTCACCACTGTCCCATCGTTTGCTGTGAGATCATAGTTGGTTAACTGCACTCACTCCATGCAATGCACACAGAGGTCGCTTCCAGGGCAGCCAGGCCTGGTATCCTGAACCCAAGGAAGCCACCTCAAGATCAAAGTTCTGAATGACTCACTGCCTAGCCCACTCACTACCAAAGAATGCTTTGGTAATCACAGAAGGCTCTAGTTAAACAGAAGCTGACCTGAGGAATGGGGTTAACCGATGGGGACCCCCACATACATCCGGACATCTGACGTCAGGGCACTGAGAGGGCAAGGTAGCTCAGAATCACCACCAGGTCCTCAGGTGAATGATTTCATTTCAATCTGCTGAGCATGCTGAGGAAAAGTCTCCAACAGTGAGGTGGCTCTGAAGACTTGTGGATGCACCCAATGGGCCCAGACAGCCCTGAAGACACAGTGAAGGAGGGTGTACCCTCTACCTGTGTGACTGTGTGTCCTTACTGATTCAGGAGACAAGATCCAGATGCAAATAGATTTTTACCAGTTTTCAGTCTTTCCTGCTGCACACCTACTGCCTGAGTGAATCTGACAGTTAATTACCTGTATTAAGTTAATCATTTAATCATTTTACTCATAGACTCAAACATGCCCACACATTCATAGCAGCTTCGGAGTGGCCAGTGAGCTAGTTCCTCAGTTCCAGGGCCCATAAAAAATGATGGAGGGCAGTACAGGACTTTCCCTGTAGGCCAAGTAGAACACAGAATGTTCACTGAAGTCTGAAGAAACAGCGGGTGGGATTGGCTGCCACACCTCCCAACACACGGCAGCACGTGGCTGGCAGGTCAGGAAGCATCTTCGACTTAGCCCAGCTCACAGAAGGCAGAAGCTGGGACATGGCCATGGGATGCTGCCTGCGCAGGTAAGGAACAGATACTGACAGCCAATGCTGGTCTCCTGTCAGAACACACAGGGACAGAGGAGATGGGAAAAAGACAGAGGATCCAGTCTGACAGACATGGAAGCAACTCTTCACCTCTCGGACCTAACTCCCAATTTTCTTGTCATAGAAAAGTGAGAATAAAGGTGAGGCTAGTAAAGGGAATGACAAATGAGCAAACCATGAAAGAAGAATGCTCACTGGAGAGGCCAAAACTTGAGCAAGAGCCACATCCTCGGCACCCATAGTTGCTTTGCATGCAGGTCAGTGAGCTCCCCTGGCCCGGGCCGCCCAGGCCTGGTGTGCTAACTAGAGGATGCACCAGCTTGCTGGAGTTGGGAAGTGGGGCTTCCCAGGCCTCTGTCTCAGACCAGTGCTCTGATCTGGAAATACTGCTAAGCCAGGTGCCACACCTCGCCCGCCACATAAGCCATCCGTTCCTCCTCCCCAGAGCTGCACCATCCAGCAAGATGAGCCACTGGGGCTCAGCAGCCAGGTTGCGACTACATCAGGGGTCTCAGCCCTTCCAGGCCTGTGCACGGTCAGAGGCAGGAGAGATGGGGACACCCTGGACCCTTCCCTGTTGCTGCCAAGCATGCTCTGCCAGAGCCCTCAGAGATGACAACAGCCTCACTGAGAGGGGACCTGAATACGTTCTCTGCGTCCACTTCCAGGAACTGATGGTGCAGAGTCTTCTCCCTTTGAACTCAAAGGAGGGATGACGCTGCCAGAAAACTGCCCCACAAACACTCCAGGCTGAGGGGTCAACACCAGGCTAGGCCCGTGACCCACCACCACCACCACCACCAGCTCCATGAGTAGCATGGCTGACAGTCACAGCACTGTCTAAGAAAATCAGTGACTGAAAAGGATCCAACCTATGCTTCCAGCCATCTGACAGCATGAAACGGGTGGGACTTACACCTGAGCTTTTCTGAGTCTAAGTCAGAAAAAATAACAGAAATGCTGTCAACTTTGTAAGGCAAGTAGATGGCAGTACAATCTCATGAACAAGTGTGCGTCCACATGTTCCAGTTACAGAATGAGGGCACAGGGTGGCACATGGATCTGCTCTAAAATGTTCAGCCATAAACGAGGACACAAACGCAGCAGAGACAGGAAATGACAGAAGTAGGTTCATTATGCTCTCAGTTTTCATTATTAAAAATGGAAATTGGAGGGTCAGCCAGACAGCTCAGTGGACTAAAGCACCTGCTTAGGCAGAGTGCAACAGCCAGGATTCGATCTCCAGCCTGCCATGCCGGCCCTATCCCCGGGGCACACCGAGACAGCGACTGAGACTGGGCGTGGTGGCACACACCTGGAATCCCAGAGCTTGGGGAGGTTGAAAGCAGGAGAATCACTATGAGTCCAATCTATGTAGTGAGACCCTGGAGAACCTGTACTAAGTACATTTTTTTAAAAAAGGAAACTAGGGGCTGGTGAGATGGCTCAGTGGTCTAAAGCACCTACTTAGTACAAGCTAAGCTAAGCAAAACACAGGGACCGCGGTTCAATCCCCCAGCACCACATGCCAGACAGCCCCGCCCCCTGGTGGGCTGAGCTGGCCACACACACATAAATAAATAAAAAATTTTTAAAAAAAAGGAAACTAGCTGGGCATGGTAGCACTTGCCTCCAATCCCAGCACTTGGGAGGCTAAGGCAAGAGGATCACCATGAGCTCAAAGCCAGCCTGGGCTACGTAAGTGAGTTCAAGGCTAACCTGTACCACATAGTGAAACCCTGTCTCTAAATACATACATACATATATACCAATGGAAACTGCAAAAGCTACCAGCTAGGCTGGGTGAGAAAGAGGAGCCAGAGGGAGCAGAGGCTCTGGGGGTGAGGAGTGGTCTCTTCTGACCATGCTGCTGTAGGCTAGACTTCAAGCCAACAAATTGCCGGCGTAGGTATCTGTGCCCACGAGGGACCTGACTGCAGGTGTTGGCATGGTTTGAGTGCACGGAGGATGGATCATCAGACCCAACAGGCACTGAGTTGCACAGTGCCACCAGGACTGGCCTGAGACATCCTTGGCCACTGCTGAGCATCCCAGGTCACCACAGAATACACCTGTTTTCAAGAGTCAAAAAAAAAAAAAAATGAGTCAAAAAAGAAAGGGACATTTGCTTCTTCTTCCTCTTCCTCTTCTTTTTTTTTTTTTTGGCAGAACCAGGGACTGAACCAGGCAAGCACTTATTCTACTAAGCTATCTCCCCAGCCCTGGATGTTGGCTTCTAAAGCCAACTTACTAACAATTACCAACTTACCAACAAAAACTTTCCAAAATAATGTGTAAGCAGAACGATCATGCTCCTTTTCATGGAGGATAAGGGGATACAGCTCTGCAAGATCAGGAACCATATATAGGAAGAAACGGAATAGGACACTACAAACGCTCTGTGCATTGTGCTATTCCTCCAGAAAAGGTTCAGGCACTGCCCTGTTGGTTTCTGACCAGCTACACCTCCTACTGCTGCCACGTGCATGAAGATTGCTGGAATGTCCTTGCTTTGCCCAGGACACAGAGTCTGGAAGCCAGGACTACTGTCTCCATCAGTCCCCAGGACCTTGAAAATAGCTCCAAGTCCTCTACCCTGGAGCAGGGTGATGCTCCATGACACTGTGATTTGTCCAGAACTGATTCACAAGTTAGGCCCAGCCCCAAGTTCAAGTGCCTCTTGCCACACTAGGCAGCACTGGGCCCCCATTATCTCCTGCTTGGCCCTGTCCAGCACCAAGGGGCCTCCCTGGGCTCCTAGGGTCCACTCTCCATACAGGCCATTCTTATCACTGTCCCTGAAGACAGAAGCCAGCTGGGTCCCCTACCACATCCCCCCACCTAAGGTACAGCAAAGCCATCTGCTTCCCAAGTTTCAATTTGTAGTCATCCTGTCCAAATCCTAGCCCAAAACCAGCGAAGTCTGAACACAACTTCCTGGAGAGACACCGGGACTCTAACCAGCCATATGGAGAAGCTCATAAGGTGAGAAGGAAGAGAGAAAGTCAGAAGGTATGCACTAGAGAGGTGGAGGGAAGGACAGGAGCTGCGACAGCAGCCACAAGAAGTAGTGTGCTTCAGGGTAGCATGACTCACGCCACGAGACACTGAATCAGGATGAATTTTCTAAAAGACATTGATGCGCAATCTTTTAAGTAAAATACAGGTTTTGGCAATATAAGCCAGATAAACAAGAGCACTGAATGAGATTGTCCCAAACAGACAAAAATCTTGGGGAAGCAGTAACAAACCTTGGGCTGGTTCCAAACATTTGGTGCTTACGTTGTAAAGAGAAACATCAGCAACAGGTGTGGTGGCGCAGGCCTATAGAATCTCAGCCACTTGGGAGGCTAAGGCAAAAGGATAGCAAGTTCGAGGTCTGTTTTCACAACTCAGACACTCTGGCTCAAAATTATAAATAAATGAACAGTAAATAAATAAAATACAATATAGGTCCCCGGTAGCACGCTGTGATCATATAGTGGTTAGTACTCTGCGTTGTGGCTGTAGTAAAATACAATACAATAAAATAAAAAGGGCCGGGGTATAGTTAGTTCAACAGTTCAGTGCTTGCCTACCAGGGATGAGGTCTTGGGTGCAATTCCTGTACTGCCCCCATCTCAGCTTCCTCTCAGACCCAAGACCAGTTCTGGCAGCACAGGCTACACTCTAGACAGGTGCTATGAACACGTGTGAGAAGCACGGCACGCGGTCACACACCCAAGCCCGACGGGAATGTCCATGTTGCACACGTGTCAGGGCTCACAGGCTGGATGCACTTGAGAATGGGTTCCTGCGCTTCCTCTAACTCCAGAAGAGCAAAATCAGGAAACTGAGAGCTAGACCTGGTAGCTTACAGGATCGTTTGTAGGATTAATTTACCATGTATCAAAATGCCACGTATTCTGGTGGACAGCGCAACAGAAGCTGCTCCACACCATTTTTTCATTTATCCACTTTAAGGCACTTTCAAAGCCACATTCTCAATTTTGATCTTGACATCAACACACTTCACAAAAGTGACAGATGATTTGCATAGCCCTTATCTCATTTTGGAGGGAAAACTGCATGAAAGATCCCATGTCAAACATAGGCCTGCGTGACATAAATGGGAAATATGAACCTGTACAATATAAACAAAAATTCATACGGCTGATTTAAAAGTAAGTTGAACAAAATCAAAGGCACAGTGGGGCCCCTGGGTTCCAAAATGAAATATGCTACACAATCAAGACAAGTGAATTACCAAAACCTGAGAGTGCTTGCTTGAGCTCGTTCTTGTCGATCATCCCCGAGTTGTCCCTGTCGTAGGTGCGGAAGACGTTCTGCCAATCTGTGATGTACTTCCACACACCTGTGAACTCGCTGAAGTTGACACCAGCTTTGTTCTCCCGGTCAAACATAGCTGAGGCAAAGCAGACAAGAGGGACTGTCAGGTCCCTGCCCTAAAGAAGCTCAACTCTGGGCACGTGCTTAGCTGCCACTGCCAGCCTCAGTCCTCCCAGATGCCAGCACAACACCAACCAGAGGCTCGAAACCCTACCTAAGGGCCAGCCAAATAGCTCAGCAGATTAAAGCGCCTGCTTAGGCAGACACAGCAGCCAGGATTCAATCCCCAACATGCTGTGCTGGCCCCACGTGCTGAGACGACAGTTGAGACGGGGCGTGGTGGCGCACACCTGTAATCCCAGCGCCTGGGAGGCTGAAAACAGGAGGATCACTCAAGTCTGATCTACATTGTGAGAGCCTGTGGACCCTTACTCAAATACAAAAAGAAACAAACAAACCCCCACTAAGAAATGCTCACTTACTGAGTATGTCTGGATCCCTAAAATCCCTGTCTCTTCTGCCAGGGACCAAGGGGGATTCCCAGTTCCAGCTCTTCAAAACAACAGAAAGAAGGGATACTGGCTATGCAGTGGACTATAGTAGCACCAGAGTAAAAACTAAAACAATATTCTATACTGAAGTAGACTGTGGTAAGCAGGCTCACTGTGGGTATTTCTTGTTCTTTTTTTTATGTATTTGGTACAGGGTCTACAGGGTCTCACTACACAGATAAGACTCATACTGATTCGGTTTTCAGCCTCCCAAGCGCTGGTATTACAGGCACATGCCACCATGCCCAGCCTCAGTTGCCATCTCAGCATAGCCAGGGGGCGGGGCCAGCAGGACATGCTTTGGGTATTTCTGTTTCACCAGGAAGACTCTGGGGTACAGAGGTCAAGTCTGTCATCTCCCCGCCCCCACCCCAGCTCGTAATCCTGGGCCAAAGCAGACTCTTCTGTATGGCAAGATCTACTACATCTCCTGGAAAAACTCAGAACAGTCCTCATGGGGCAACAGAAGCCTATGTATTTTGATTTAAAAAACAAACCCTAGACTATTGTCCTATTAGCGTCAGATTTTAAAAAATAAGACCTGACCTTAACTGGACATGGTGGTGTACACTTATGACTCTGGGAGGAGGAGACAGAATTGTTAGTTTGAGCCCTGCCTGGCCAATTTAGCAATTTAGTGAGACCCTGTCTCAACACAAACAATAAAACAGAGTTGGGGAGGATAACTCAGTGTGATATCCAGTTTCAGTCCCCAAAAATGAAACAACAAAACACTACAGTGTCATTCCAGCTCTAAATACATATAAACAGATAACTAGAACTGCATGTACATGTAAAGTGTATTTCCAAAATGGCCATAAAAATGTGGAGAAAATTATCAATCACTGGGCCTCCTCAAGCACCAAGGCTGACTGGAGGCTGCAGTAAGACCACCCATGATTCAGCAAAATCTCACATGAGCAAAGATTGTGAAATAGTGTTAATGTTCGTCTACCACGCAGGAGGCTTCACCCCAGTGCTGGTTTCCACATTACTGCCTAGGACACAGGCGACACTGAAGGATGGATGAGTGACAGCTGGGGCTGGCTTTGACATATGGCCCCATTCTGGCAGGGAAACACACAGGCATCCTGCCCATCCACAACGTCCGCAGTGCTCCACATCAGCACACCCAGGAGCTTTTATCGACATACTGTTGCCTGGATCAGCTCCATGCAGTGCCTGCAACTCTCTGCAATGCACTACAGAGCTCAAAGTCAGTACAGACAAGCCACCCCCATGGAGTAAAACCTGTGTACAGAGTAGGAGGTGGGGTGAGGACCAGACCTCAGACACAGGGCCTGGTCCTGCAGAGGGCAGAACTGAACCCAAGATCCCATATTAAAAAGAACTTGGGGGCCAGTGAAATAGCTCAGCAGACTAAGCACCTGCTTAGGCAAACTCAGGGACCACGGTTCGATCCCTGGCACATGCCACACAGGCTCCACCCTCAGGCATGCTGAGTCAGCCAGGGTCTGGGCCTGGTGGCACACACCTGTAATCCCAGAGCTGGGGAGGCTGAAAACAGGTGGACCACTATGAGTACAAGCTATAGGGGGCCTGCCCCTTAGCTCAGCTCTTTAAGTGCCTGCTTCAACAAAGCAGTCAGGTTCAGGCTGCTGTGGTTTGATCCCCAAAACTCAAGCCAGCCAAACCTGCCCTGAAGGCATTTGGAGCAAAAAAAAAAAAAACAAGCTATGTAGTAAGGCCCTGTATCAAATACATTTTAAAAAATAAAGATTTGGAAGGGAGCTACATCTTTAGAAGAGTAGGCTAAAGAAAGTCCACCTCATAGTTACGCAAACATTCCAGAAATCAAAGGAACAACAAATTTTCTTCTGAGACCATGAGGCTGCAGGTCCATCCTCTCTGGATCTGGCCCTCAAACCTTCACTGGGGTTTGCAGCCAGAAAGGACCCACCCTGAGAACCCACACCCTAGCCAGCTGCCACAACATGAGTCCTTTTCTGAGGATGTGCCCCAGTGCAGGCCCTGGTTTGCTGTATCAAGTACATGCAAACTCAAACCCGTAATACAAAGAAAAACTACAAAAATATCAAGGAAATATCAACGTATGTAAGGCCCAGCAGGAAAGTCAGATGTAGACCATCCCCTCAAGAGCTCAGGGTCATCATGAACACAGGGCAAAACAGTGTTTATATGTGGACTTTTTCACAGAAATTTTCCCTCAAATTTTAAAAATATCATATAGAACCTCTGGAGAAAAAAAGATGAAATGCCAAAAAAAAAATACAGAGTGAGAAATATCAAAAATAACCAGATAAGCCTTGAAATCAGAAACTGAAAATCAGATTAAGCTGTAAATTAAAACTAAAGAATCAGTAGGGCATCGTGGCACACGCCTGTAACCCTAGCACTGCATGGCGAAGCTGACACAGGAGGATCACTATGAGGCTGCGTGCAGCCTGGGCTACATGATGAGGCCAAGGCCAGCCTGAACTCTATGACACCCTATCTCAAAAAACAAAAACAAAAAAACAGAAGTACTGTACACACAAAAAGCTGTGCAGAGGCAGGGAGAATAGGATGCCAGGACCCAGCACCAAGCAGCAGCCAAATTGGGAACAAGCTCATCCAAGCAGCACCCAGGGCAAGTCGACATCACCTGCCACCCACATCTGTCTGCAGATACTTACAAATGATTGACCTGACAGTCACTGGATTAAATGGAGTCCATGTGCCTGAAAACAAATGACACACAATAGCAATTAAACAGATGCTCACTTTACAGAACTCTGTAAGTGCCTGACCCACAATGCAAGCCGGCGAGAGTCACCGCCTGCTCCAGAGCAGAGGTCCTCCCGGGGGCCCAGTCCAGGGCACCGAGGAACTTCTGCTTGCCCTGACTCCAGAGGACCCTGCACACAGCGTCGTGTGCTGCACCCTGCAGGAGCTCCCCATTTTCTACTATCTGTTGCTACTCCAAACCAAATGTCGGCTCTCTAGAGCTCCATCTGGACAAGTTTCTGGGTAGAACAGCCACACTAGTTCCCTAAACGACTCTCACCACTCTTAGGCTGGACAACTCTCTAAGAGAATACTCAGGGACATGGTGTCTTACACAGAGGGGACACAGCCCGTGGACAAGGATGAGAAGCCAAGCATGAGCTTCCAGAGTGTGGGGAGGCCATGCTCACATCTTCCACAATGCTTCAGGGGTCACCTTCAGGGCAGCTGTCCTGAGCCAGGGAGTCCAGGGTTTTTCAGTGTGTCATCAAGCCCTACTTGCTTAGAGGGAAGCAGATGTTGGCCACAAACTACATCCTTGGTATAGACCATGCAGGCAAAGAGGCATAACTCAGCTGGAGGCCCCTGGTCTACGTCAGCCCATTCTAGAACACAGGGCCCAGGACTGAACAGAGCTAGGCATCCAACAGGTTTTTCTTGGAAACATAAAGGTTTGGTCAACCCAGCCTGAGAGCTAACCCACGGATCAAAATTATGGGTAAGCTCCAGACTCTGAGTCATCACAGGACTATAAACACCACTGCTCATAACTGGGTCCACGTACAAAAAGGACAGTTATTTGACTGTGTGGGCATTCTATACACAACTCCTGCCTCCATGAAGTGATTTCTCTCAGTCCCTTTGGGGGAGCAGGCCATTCCTGTGAGACTTGCCATGTAGACCAGGGTGGCCTCAAATTTACAGCAATACTACCTCGGCTCCCCAAGTGCTGGGATTATAGGTGTGTGCCACCATGCCCAGGGATCTCTCAGTTCTTTTGTCCGACACGAGTTTTAACTACAACACTAGAGAGGGAGAGAGAAAGAGAAGAGAGGAAAGAAGCGAGGGAGAGAGAATCCTGTCATGTGGTCCTATGTACCGATCACAACAGCTCCTGTGAAGACAGCTCAAAACAAGACCCTATTGGGAATCACTAACACTCTCAGCATGGTGTCGACCAGATGGCAACAGACCTCCCAGAAGCTCAGATCGAGCTGAAGGAAGAATCTACGCAATTTTGTAATTTCACTTTCCTTCTAGTACTATGTTACATCCCCTGAAATGGCTTAATGACTTAGCTCCAATATCAAAATAGAACACCAATCCTGAGAGAACAATAGAAATCAAAATGGTTTCAAACACAGGCACTGGGGGCCGGCCAGATAGCTTAGCGGATTAAAGTACCTGTTTAGGCAGACACAGGGACCCAGGATCAATCTCTGGCTCCACATGCCAAGTCGGCCCTGCCCCCGGGGTGTGCTGAGACAGCGACTAAGACCGGGCGTGGTGGTGAGCACCTATAATCCCAGCACTTGGAAGGCTGAAAACAGGAGGGTCGCTATGAGTTCAATCTGTGTAGTGAGACCCTGTAGACCCTGTACTAAACACACACAAAAAAACAAAAAACCAGGCACTGAAAACAGTGACAAGTATCATCTGCCTACACAAAGCACCACTGTGAACCTTCATTATGAAGCTCATGATGTAGAGGCCAGAGAGAGCGGTGGTCTGAAAGCTGTCTCCTCCAAAACTCAAGATAACACTAGTGCCACTACTGGGCATGAGAACTCCACTCCTGAGAAAGGGGTAGGTGGGGCCTTTCTTTTTGGAGTAGGTGAGTCATGGTGGGGGTCTCCTGGTGAAAGTGCAAGGTGGCTCCTTCCTCCCAGTCTTGCCCTTCCACCTTCTGCCGTGGCCAGCCAATGTCTCACCATGCTCTTGGCTTCCCAACCTCCCAAGCCCAGAGCAAAATGAATCTGTCTATAAAGCACCTGGTCTGGGGAATTATTATAGAAGCAGGAAAAGGACTAAGATATAGTACACGAGAGAAAAGGAGAATGCTAGTCTTAAGGCAGGAAAATACAGAACCACTGTCCACTGAAGAGAGGAAGAGAAGACATGGGTGCCTTGCAGGGAGTGGATCAGCAGAGGCAGGTGGCAGACACCAGCAGGCACACAGGTAGGAAACCCCAAGGCCTCGGTGTGAACGACCAAATGGGGAGAAACGGAGCCACACAGCACATGGCATGACGTGCACAAAGAACACACCTCTGAGTGCAGAGCTGGGCTCTGCAACGACACCACCACAGGTGAGCCAGAGCATGGGGCTGCCACCACCTGTATCACAGGGAAGTGGGCAAAGCAGGTGCTGTCACCACCCGCTCTGTGAGGCTGTAAAGGGACTAGGAATCTGTGCTCACTAATAATCTGCCTCACTCCAGAATATATTTGCAGTACACAGAATAAGTACAATGTCAGCTGGAATCAAAAAAGTAAGGTAAGAGGGAAGGAAAGAAAGTAAGCAGCCCAAGGCAAGATCAGAAAATATACCCCTTAAAAATCCTAAACCCTGGAGCCGGGGAGATGGCTCAGTGGAATAAGCGCAAGGGCCTGAGTTCAATCCCCGGTTCCGCAAAAAGCAAAAAAAAAAAAAAAAATCTTAAACCCTTGCTATCAACAAACCACAAACCACAAGCCCGGAGGAAAATGAATTTGTCTATAAAGCACCTTGTCTGGGGAATTATTATAGCAGCAGGAAAAGGACTAAGATACAGTGCACGAGAGAAAAGGAGAATGCTAGTGTTAAATTTTCAGTTAATTTGAAGAAGAAAATTGACTCAGCAGATACAGGGTTGGTAAGATACAGAAAAAGCAGCACCATAGCTGTGTGGGACACGCTGCGTGGGACACGCTGCGTGCTGTGCCTCCAGGAACAGCATGATCCCATCCTTGGGATTAGCAGCAACCACATGGGGCTGGCTCTCGCCCCCACAACATAAGCCTAGGGCTCTCACCCCCACAGGGCTCTCACCCCCACAAAGCTCCATTTTGGCAGCTGTTAAAATTCACTTTCAAGCAGTTCTTGGTAGAGACTGAGTGGTAGCTTAAATCAGGGTTATGTTCTGATAGGTACTTGAGGGCTAATGCCTACTGGTGAAAATACAGGGGCCCTAAATCCACAGTTCAGAACACGCGTTGTAGCTGGGCATGGTGGCACACGCCTATGATCTCAGAACTCAGGAGGCAGAGGCAGAGACAGGAGGATCGCTGGGAGTTCAAGGCCATTCTGGACTACATCGTGAGACCCCCCAAAAAAACAGGCGTTGTTTAAAAGCCCCAGCACCAGGTCCCACACATCGCAAGTGGCCTCTACCAACTTCACTACCATCAAGGGCTGGAGCTAGCCATCCCAGACCTGAACTGCCTCCAGGGCCAAAGACACTGGGAGTAATACTACTCAATGTTGTGGCTAACGCTCCAGGCACTTGTGCTGTGCATCCCAGGAAGTACGTTGCCAGCATTTCCTCAGTTTACTCTTTGAGTAGTGATGCAGACACTAAGACCCAACAGGTTAAGTGCTCATCCAAGACCACATTGCTGAAATAGGGAAAGCCAGGACATGAATCCAGCAGTCCCAGCTCCCCAGTGGGGTCCTCCAAGGTATACAAACTGTCATGCAAATATGGTTGAGTAACTGACCACCACCACCAGTTGAGAAATTTCACACAAAACCTAAATTTGGTCAGTACTCTCAAACATTCAAGCAAATCAACAACAAAAAAAAGGTTATTTACAAGTTCCCAAACTTTTAACCACTCACTGGGAACCACTGAAAACAAGTAAGGTATCTCTGAAGATGATTCAGGAGTACTGTGTGTCACCCTATTGCCACACATTTACAGCATGACATGAGGACATTATTCATTCTGGTCACTTAGGAAGTTTCAAGCCAAGAATTGCCAAATTGTGGCCTGCTGGCGTAGATGCCTTTGCAGTCTTTCTAATAAATCCTGCCTTGTCCTTCCCCTGGATGTAACAAGCACTGGAGATGCAAAGCTCAGATAAAAAGAGTGAATAATAAACAAAGAGGAAAGAACTAAAGAAGGCACTATAGAAAAAAATGGAATCTCTTAACTTCCTGAAAAAAATCTAAACAAACATGTAAAATATCACCCCAGTATTTGTGGCCCACACAGTGAAATGACATCAGTGGCCTCTACAGTTCTGTAAGGCAAATACATTATTCTGAAAACACAGACCCTCAGCCTAACACACATCACCAGGAATGGATGCTTAATGCCTAGCATGTCTCAACAGTCAGTGGTTCTCCTTTAAGCCCAGAGCAAAATGAATGCCCCAGCTTCTAGTATTTTTCACCAGCTCCAACACTGTGAGGCCATGTCCAGTGTCCACTGTTGCCTTTTCCCCTGCCCAGTCAACAATATCATATAAATGCTTCCCACTGATAGATGAGTCTTCCAACACTTCATCAGACCTTAAAACTGGGTTATTTTCCATCTTAAATGGCACACCTCTGAAAAACCAGCCTATGAATATAATAAGAAAAGATGACTTTATCCAAGGGATTACAAAAAGGCGTAAGACATCTCTAGAAATACCACAAGAGATTAATCAGGATGAAATCAGCAAAAGCATGACTCCATGGAGAGCCCTCAATGCACTCCACACAAGGCCTGCATTCCTTCCAGCCCCTGCCTGAAGGCCTAGCATTCCCCACCCTGAGAAGAATACATCTCCATGATCCCACTGCCCTACCTCCCAATAGCCCTATTTCTCAGTTTGTCCCTAGAGTTGCAGCAGTTCCCAAAGCAACCAAGATTCAAGTACTGCATAGGCTGGTGCTAATCCCTTTAACAATTACCTCTGTGTCCCCTGACAACTCTTAAGTGCCTCAGAGGAGTTAAAGTCCAATTATCAAGAAACACCATCATTAAAAAAAAAAGAAGAAACGCCAGGATATTCAAGACATCTAAAGGGTTTCTGCTGCACAGAGCTAAACTTCCTACCCCTTCCCTAAAACCTACACCCTAGCTCCCAATTCTCAGGCAGCACCTCCCAATTCTCACATTCCTCTATTGTTTTGGAGTTCAGTGGGGCAGCATTAATGATAAGAAGCTACCAACAATGTAAGTTAGAAACACTTCCTTCCTCCTCATGTATCAGTAATAGTAACTTGGTCTTAGTTATTCTCTGTACTTAGAAATAAATTCCAGAAAAGAAACTGCTTCCTTGAGTGGATGAGGCTTTCACTCACCATTGGACAATGCTTGCTGAAGCTCATTGTCTGATATCACCCCACTCCGGTCTTTATCAACCCTACAAAAGAAAGAAGACAAGGTAAGCTGGTGGTGAAAAGTGCAGGAAAAGCAAAATATAACAAAAAACAAAGTTTTTGTTTTGGTTTTTTTTGTCAATACTACAATAGTCTGTAGCCCCTCTTGCAGATCATTCACTATTCTGCCAGAACATCAAAGACCCCCAGAGGTGCTATAGAGAGACCCCTAAAGGATTATCGTTACTGCTCATCTCAAACTTCCTTGGTTACTCCCATGGCCTGTAGCAACTCAAAACATGCTCCAGCTTCTATTATTTTTCATAGATCAGAAACAAATTTTCTGGGATAATAACGTCATTCTTTGGCCGTGAGTCATTCAATTTATGGCCATTCTATCACTAGGACGACCTGGGGCTAAAGACACAGCCACACCGGTCACCTGCCCCGAGGTTCTCCCTGCCCTTTTAGAGTTGCTGCCATTTTCATAGCGCGAGACCTGGTCTGTTCCTGTCCTGAAAAACTGTACCAGAGACCCCGAGGTCAGCTAGGGTCTGCCACTCAACCCTGACCGACGGTGCACCCAGGGCCTCGGGTCCGCAGCTTAGGAAGGGTTGGCGCACAGGAGAGCTGGGGAGGGGAGGCAAAGGAGAGGCCTGAGCGGACAAGGGAGGGGCCCGGGACCTGGGACGGCAGAGAAGGGAGCCCGGGAAGACCGCGCAGGGGGCCGAGATGGGGAGGACGCCAGGGGAGAGCACGGGGGTGGACGACGGGGCCTGAGGGCCAGGGTCCCGGGGGCGCCGGCCTCACCGCTGGAAGACGTTCCACAGGAAGCTCTGGTCCGGCAGCGCGGCGCCCGCAGCAGGGCCCGGGCCGGGCCCCGGGCGGTAGGAGTAAGCGGCCATGGGCAGAGAACAGGCGACGGAGAGACTGTGGCGGCACGGCTCTGCTTCCGCCTTTGCCAGGACCTAGCGCCCACGCCATTTCCGGGGGTGCCGGAAGTGCATGTGCCGCAGGTCGCTGGCCGGCACGACCAATCCGCGCGCAGCTCAGTTGCTGGGCAACGCCGGAGCGTCGGCTTTTGGCCGTGGCTTGTCCCTTGAGCCCAGAGCTCTGTCCTGTCCGGGCTAGTCCGCCGCTGGGCCTTGTTCCCTCCCCGCCCTGGTCTGTTCTTCCTCGGTACCCTGTTCTTACCTCGAGCAGAAGGGTGGAGACGCCTGGAGGAGAGGAGACCGTGCGGGGTGGACTTTCCGGAGCAAGCCCGGGCCTGAATGCGAAAGGTTTAAACCGGACTGAGGACATCCTGGTCATGTGAAAAGAAGTGCAGTGGATGCCAGCTGTCTAAAGTCCTGGGAAGGGAAGGGGCCGAGCATTCCTTATCCTCAAGTCCGTTGCAAAGTAAATGAGCCATTATCTCTCTAACTGGGTGGAATGACCATCACTTTTTCCTGTAAGCCAAGCCAAATTTTCTATAGATTAAAATTCAAGATTTCTACCACCAAAACACATCCTTGTCTCCAGCTCCAGACTTACAGCACCCCTCTCTCTAGGGCCTGCGTCCTACTTTAATGTGTACTTTTAAAATTCCACCTAATCTCCTTATTCCTGACATGTCCTACAAATTCTTTTTCTGTGGTGGCAGTCAGCAAACCTGCAACCTGTCCCATGGGTATGATGACTTAAAAGATTCCCCGTCTATGTTTTAGGGACCTCTTGAACTCTGTGACAAAGCCAGCTTTCCATCTTGGCCTGTGTGCCGTGTGGTCAGGGTGCTCAATTTATTTATATTATTTCAGGATTTCTGTTCTTGATTCGGTGAGGAAGATGGTCTTCATCCTCAGAGCTGGTAAACTATCCTTACGGATTTTTACCTCACTTGCAAATGTTTCACTTTTTTTTTTCACTTGGAAATGTTGAACAGATCCAGCCAAAGTCTTGAGTTTTAATCACTGTCACCTGAAACCTTCTTCCCTCTGGACACCATCCATTATTCAGCATATGGGCACAGCTCTAGATCTGATCAACTCCCAGTTATGTTGACTCTGTCCCATTTACTTTCTCTTGTGCTCAGGCATTTACTTCAGACTTTTTTTTTTTTCCAAATTCTTTAACTAAATTAACTTACCTTATGACTTTGGTATTCATTCCAAGTATGTATTTATAAATTTCTTCAACAGTGTGAATTTTTAACACAATGTAGTCAATTCAAGTTTTCTAATTTCCTCTTCCTAAAGTGTAACAAGCCTTTCCCGAAACTTCCATCAATCTTTATCTCTGAATTCCATTTTAGGCATGGTGGTGCATGTATGTAATCCAGTTCTTGGGAGCCTGAGGCAAGAGGTCTGAGTTCAAACCCAACCAGGATTACATGGCATGGGCTCCTTTTCTGTCTTTTTTTTGCAGAACCGAGGATTGAACTCAGGCCCTTGCACTTGCCAGGGAAGCACTTATTCCACTAAGCCATCTCCCCAGCCCCTTAGAAATATGCAGATATTAACTACAGATTTGGGACCTAGTCTGTAAGTTGGGAAGAAAGCTCCACAGCAAATACCAGTCAGTGCAGGACTCAGCTTCCTGCCCCACAGAGGCCTAGGGTCCACGAATCATTAGCCAAGTGAGTCTCCAACCTGGCGTGCCACAGAGACCATCACCTCCATCACACAGAAGTGCTCTGGTCTGCTTTTTGTTGGGCCCTAGGGGGTGAGAAGGAACGTTTGGAAATTACCAGACGCTTACAAGGAGCTAAGAGTCTACTCTGGTGTTTAAATGTTGCTTAGTCTTCACCTGCTTCCACACTTTACTTAAGGGAAAACTCAAGAGATGTTAGGAGGATCAAGTCAGATCCTCCAGTGCTTTTCCTGCTTATTTCAATAGTAACAATATTGACTTTTTTAAAAAAAAATTATTTATTTATTTATTTGGTATAGGGTCTTGGTTCAGGGGCTGGTATGGCATGCAGTACAGGGGATCAAACTCAATCCTTGTGCCTGCCAGTCAGGTACTTAGATGACCGAGCTATCTCCCTACCCCAACAATGATAACTCTTAAAAGGGAGATTAGCTACTACGAAATTAAGAAAAATCCAGTCTATGGATACCCACATGAATGCACATGGATCTTCCAGAGGACAGAAATACTGTCCTGACAGCTTCACAGACAGTGTGGCTTCCAACCCTTCCTTTACCCCACCCAGTCTTAGCTGAGTCACACTGGGCCTGTTCTGTGCTACCCAGGGTACCTTAGCCTCCCACAAGTCATCCCAAGGTACTTTGTCACTTAGATATGATGTATTGTCATAGGTGTGGTGGAAGGTCACCATGTTAGGAAGACTGTTCTCTGTGACATAAGAAGCGAGTCATCTTCCAGCTGCTGCCATCTATCTCATTGCCTATCTCAGATTCAGTTTCCTCCTAACCAGATCTAAGCTTTCCAGGAGTTGAGAAATTAACTGAGAAATAATACTTCCTCGCTATAGTAACGTTAATCATATCATATGTCTAAATATTAAGGCAATCTTTCATTTGGCCTAATTTTTCTGAGCCAATTTGAAAATGCATTATTTTCTAATTTTTCCGAAATATCAGCGCTTTCTGGATGCTGGGGTTCCTAACACTTCCTATAATGCACCTGTTTGTTCATCTGGGGGTTTTGGGACATAACAAAACCTCAACAAATATTTGTTAAATAAATGGATAACCAAGTAAGCCATATGGCTACCCTATCCTGGGTGCATGTGTGTACACTTACACATATGTATTTGTTTTGCAATGTTGGGGATCCAGTCCAGGGACACATGCATAGTAGTCACATGTTCTACCATTGACCTACATCCCTATCCTTTTAAAAAATTTTATTTTGAGATAGGGTCTCATTAAGTTGTCTAAGCTGGCCTTAAAGCTGTGATACTCTTGCCTCAGCCTCCCGCGTAGCTAGGATTGCAGGTGCGCACCACCATGCACAGCAGAACAAGGGATTTCTTAGGGAGTCCTGGTTTCTCAGTAGGGAATGGCACTTGGAGAACACAATCCAGGTGCATGATGTTTCCACTGTTTCTGGGATAAAAGTAGGAAATATGTATTGATGGAAAGAACAAGATGAATTTACACTCACATTTCCACTTCCAATTCTAAATGACAGGGCTTTTAGTTAACTTTTGATCTTATCTTTCTCTGAAAAATCTTAAACATTAAGATACTTGGTTATCAGCTCTAAACCACTTATATGTAAGACTAATAACAATGACACTACTGAATGAAATTTGGGGTTTCTTTTTTTTTTTTTAATCTTTTATTTATTTATTTATTGCGTGTGTGGGTGTGTGTGGGTGTGGGTGTGTGTGGCCAGCTCAGCCCACCAGGGGGCGGGGCTG